CTTTTTTTTGCGTCTCAATTGGATGCTTATTTTTGTAAAATTGAATCAAACAGGACCTTTTCGTCAAATTGATCAGACGACATTAAATATTGTGTGACCTTACATGCTGACAGTGTTGTTTTAACACACATGTCATTAAAAACGTGGGTAATTTCTATTATTTTAAATTTTGAATTAAAAAATTAAGTTACAGGGCAAAGTTGATAAAGTTGGAAATCCAATTACAGAAAGCCTCATACTTGCAATTGCGATGTGAAAATCCAATTGCGATGTGAAAATATGGAAATGAAATTGGGGAAATTTTGAGTTTTAGGCTCGTCAGTCATCCATCATCCATGTGAAGCCCTTGTATAAAATCTGTTTTCGAAACTAGGGTTTCTCACTCGTCTTCTGCTCTCTGAGCACGCCAATCTGTTCCTCAGATTCAACCCTTCGCATTGAGCCAATGGGAAAAGCCTTCGACATGGGAGCCGTTCCGTTCAACTCCGACGGCTGGGGACCACCGTAAACAGCGGCCGTTGACGGTAGCAGCAACCTTCCTCTCAACGTTCCCTTTGCCCCCTTCTCCCATTCTGACAAATTGGGCCGCATCGCCGACTGGACCAACAATTTCAACAACCCGACCCGCTTCAAGAACCCCGCAGATTCCGTCTTCGACTTCACCAACGATGACTCCTTCCCGGCCTCCGCTGACGACGACGAGACGACGACGCCTCATTCCGCCTCGTTGATGGCAAGCCTCCACCGCGCCCCAAATTCGGCCCTAAGTGGTGTTTCCAACAGCAGCGTCAGCTTTCGCAGCGTCGCGACGAGGCGTTTCCACCCCTGCTCATTCTGCAGACTCCAATCTGCTCCAGCAACCATAAGCATCTTCGTGTCAACTTCATCCCCAAATTTCACAGCCAAATGAAGACGAGTATTCCAATTTGACATATCTCGCCGGTCTATCAAAGTGGAAATGGCATCAGCCTTTTCTTCCTCCGCAATTTAAACCGCTTTGGTGTGAATCGCAATTGCAGAGAGAACGGGACTTTCTGTAAATGAATTTCCAACTTCGCCAACTTTGCCCTTCTGTAATTGAATTTTCATTCTTTTAAGTTAATTTTTTAATTTAAAATTTAAAATAATAGAATTCACCCACGTTTTTAATGACACGTGTGTTAAAATAACACTGTCAGCATGCCAGGTCACACAATACTTAACGCTGTCTGATCAATTTGACGAAAAGATCCTATTTAATTCAATTTTACAAAATTAAGGACCCAATTGAGATGTCAAAAAAAGAAAGGATCATATTTGAGATGCTTGAAGAAAAATAGGGATCACCTTTTTAATATTATTTGTTTGCTATACTTTTAAAATACTATGTTAATTTTTTTGATATATTTAAAACTTTATTTAATATATTTTAAAGACACAATAGAAAGAGTATAAAAAAGTTAATAGAAAATTTAAATTTGTTGAATTCAGAGTTTATAGTTAGCCCATAACGCGACCTCGCTTTACTATCCTTGTAATTTTGGTTTTCTTTTTGTTTCCTTTCATACCATTAATAGACAAAATTATATTACAAGTACATTGAGAATCTTTTGACAGATGGGAATAAATAGATATAAGTGATTCATGTAATATGATATTCATGTAACAAGAGAGATATTGAAACCGAGCATGCCAATTAAGTATTTATAATTTGAGGATTTTAAACAATACTTTTCCACAACTCTTTTTAACACCTCCAATTATATAAATGTGATAGTATTATGTTGAGAATAAATGTGACTCAAAGTATGACTATAGATAAAAATAACAAAATTAAACACTATACAATATAAAAGATTTTTTTGAAAATTGAAATGGCGTTGTTGTTATGATAGAGTTGTTATTATACTATTTATAGACTTTTTTTTCACGTAAGTTCGATTATATATGTATAATATGGAGTCCTACTCCCACATAAGACATGCAGTTGACACGACTTTTAATAAAAAATCAAAAATCTTATACATGTTGGACTATTACTGTCATTATGATAAAGGTATTGTTAAAACGATTTAAGCCTTTATCGATTATGATATCACTATTTTTTTATGTAGGGGTTTATTAGATTTGGTTATTTATGTGAGACATTGAGTCTTATTCCATATAAGACATTTGATTATACTTTTAATTTAAAATCTAAATGTTTTGTGAGTTGAAATATTATTATGATTATAGTGGGTTGCTGTTATAGCAATTTAAACAATCATCATAACAAACTATCAACTTTAATATCATTTATAGAATTTTTTTCATATAAAAAAATTTATTGAATTCGATTATATATATATATATATATATATGATATTGAATCTTATCACATACTATATTGACATGGCTTTTAATAAAAAAATCTTCAAATAATATATTTATGAAATTTTCATTTTATATAAAATTTAATTTTGTAAGTTTTACTCAATATAAAACTTTGAGTCAAAATTATTTTTAATATGTTCAATGGTTAAACAAACTAAACAAAAAAAATGTGATTTTTCTTCAAATAAATTATGAAAAAAGTATTTCTAAACAATTACAAACTTTCCGAATTTACCCGGTATTAAAATGTATTTGCACTGCAGAATATAAAAAGGAGTGGTTTAGTCCTGTTCTTAATTTAAAATAATACTTTTGACAACTGAAATAATCATTTAACAACTGTATTACAATAACATAAATACTTAACTAATGAATTAAATGGAAGTTATCGTCCTCCTCGTTCAAAACAGTTTTTTGCGAATCACATGTCTGAATTACTGTATAAGGGTTGACGCTCAATATATTTATTAATTACAGGTGTTGTTGTTATGAACGTGACAGTACACCACATGACTCGAAAAAGTAGTGAATAGGCTGATCTAAATGTACTGAAGATCTACTAGACATCTGGTACAAAATGTACATCCCATTAAAAACTGCAGTTACTTTCGAACCAAAATCCAATATTATTCATATGATTTTATTAGACTTGTATTCATAAATTTTTTTTCTGATTTGTTTTCCTAAAATCGAAATCGGTTTCTAAAGTAATGATCGTTTTATTTAGGATAAATTAGTTTTATATGGTTGATGGATAATCTTTAACATGTTTTTTTTAATATTTACATGTTAGAGTATATATTGGGTTAGATATATTTTTATTTCTTTAAGTAATTTTTTTTTTAAATTTTGGTTCAATTTCTTTTTGAAATTTTATAAATACGTAGATTTAGTTTTTTTAGTTTATAAAAAAAGTATTGGAGTTATTTATATTATTTGAAATATTTTTTTTAATTTTAATTGATAAACATATTTAAAATCTTAAATAAATTTAACAAAATTTAATTAGAAGAACTAAATTGACTCAATTATAAAAATTATGAAAGACTAATTAATCCAAAGTTCCAAATAAGAATTTATTCCAATTTTTATCTTAAATTAAGAATAAAAACGTATTTAACTCGCATAAATAATATGAGTAACAAAATAAACTTTAATTATATATTATGAAGTGAGTTTATTATTAACTTGTTATTAAAAAATTGATTTATAAAGTAAATTTTTTTAAAATTGACATTGTAATAAAAATCCTTTAAAATGGAGACATTTATATTTTAGGCATAAGAATAAGAAATTCAAGGTGATATAATATTGACTTCATAATAAGAAACACAGTATATATAAACTTTGACGTTATACTAAAAGATGAGTTTCAACTTAATTTATCCTTAAAAAGATTTAATTTATAAAATACAAATAATTTAATTTATATATTATAAATTGATATTATATTTAGTTAACGTAAAATTGAACGTATGTCCATTACAATTAAATATGGACATTTCATGTGTTTGTTGACTTTATGGATGGTTTGATAGTTAGACGAGAATTAACAAACTTTGCAAAACAGACTATAGACTATGAAAGCATATTATAATATAAAGTGAATTTAAATCTAATAAATTTTAACTAAAATAATTTTGTAAAATAAAGATTATTTCTAATTATATTATGTGAGATAGAATATGTAAATGAAATCAAACTAATAACAGGTAAATTTGAGAAGTAAATATCTAGCAGATCAATTTGACACGTTCTCGTTCCTCTTTACTTCATTAAGTTTTAAGAAAAGAAAAAAATCAATTGATCCTATAGTCTTGTTCTCCTTGAAATTTTATGAAAAAACTCGCATAAGAATTAATTTTTATTTATTTATTAAATAATAATATGATTATAATTAGAGGAGTGTTTTCAAGACATCTATAAACATATTTTATATTTTTAATTGAAATAAGACGTCTATAATTATTAATGTGATTTTCAATAACTAGAACTAATATGAAATATTAAGAAGAATAGATTAAAATGTGAAGTGAACCCCCAATGTCAACAAAAAGAAGTGTTCCACAAAGTATCTTAAAAGAAAATATCTTAACGAGTTACGCATTGAAAATACAGTTCCAAAGTAAACCTTGTGAGGAATATTTTTGTGAAAGTGCTTGTTTTGTAAAAGGTTGGAGCTGGCAAAATGGGCCCATACTGTACGCATCCTTGTAAATTATTACTTCCTGCACCCATATTTTTTCTTCCTGCATCCTATAATTGTCAGAATATCAAACTTGTTCCTGTGATAGAAGTTATGAGTGGGAGCGTATTGAGTGTTATTATTGTTGTTTGTTGGAGGTGATTGTGGATGTTTGAATTTCAAAGTTTTTGAATTGTATGATTAATAAAAAATTGTATTTCAAAACTTATAATTTCAAATACACATTTTTAATTTACATTTTAAATTATATATATGGATTTGAAAATATTTTTTGAAATACATTTGTAATGAATATTTTGAAAATACCATGGATGGATCCACGAATCAAATCAAATTATAGTACATTACTTTGTCTCATGATCCCAAACTGTTCAGAAACATGTCAGCTTGTGACAGTTGAAGAAAAAATCTGTAGCAGGGAACAGTAGTTGATACACTTACATTTACTTAACATGATTTTTGTAACGAAAAGGTGAAAACTAATGTGTTAAAATGAGTGTAAAAGTATCTGAAAGTAACTTTTTTTCATATGTAGCATCAAACAATTATGTCTATGGGGTGCTCTTGATCATCCACAAGCAACACCTGAGACCCTTCTTCAATAATCATTGCACCAGCTTCATTTGCTCNATATATATGGATTTGAAAATATATTTTGAAATACATTTGTAATGAATATTTTGAAAATACCATGGATGGATCCACGAATCAAATCAAATTATAGTACATTACTTTGTCTCATGATCCCAAACTGTTCAGAAACATGTCAGCTTGTGACAGTTGAAGAAAAAATCTGTAGCAGGGAACAGTAGTTGATACACTTACATTTACTTAACATGATTTTTGTAACGAAAAGGTGAAAACTAATGTGTTAAAATGAGTGTAAAAGTATCTGAAAGTAACTTTTTTTCATATGTAGCATCAAACAATTATGTCTATGGGGTGCTCTTGATCATCCACAAGCAACACCTGAGACCCTTCTTCAATAATCATTGCACCAGCTTCATTTGCTCTACTAAGATGTTCGCAAGGACTTACGGCAAATCCAACATGAGCCATTTCCCCTGCATCAAGCATCACGCTCTGGAAACCAACCAACTGTTTCAGAGGGTTTCCACTTTTCTGGATTTTAGGCCTCATAAACAGCAACACAGGATGCTTCCCCACCATGCTTCCATGATTTTGAACTCTCACAGTGACCGAGAGTGACATGCTTTGGCAGGTTTGTTCTCCCAACTCCGAAACAAGTTTGTACCTTACGGTTTCTGAATTTTCAACCGTGAAATGAGTGGAAGATTGGTTCAAGTGAAGCTTGTCATGTGTAACAGAAACAAACTCATAGGAATACTTCGAGTAGCTCAGTCCATAGCCAAACTCATACACTTTTGGACCTTTGTAAAATCGGTAAGTTCTCCCAGGATAGCCCGTAGAAGGATCGGCTCTCATTCTCATGTCTGTCATGGGTACTTTGATGTAATCTTTTGGGTACCAAGTAACTGGAAGTCTTCCTCCTACATAGTATTCATGACAGGCAGCAGCGCACACCATTTCGGTAATAACAGAGTATAGTTAAAACACGAGTAAAGTGAATGATATTTTGATTAAAAGTTTTGTAGAGACAGAAACTAATAAAAGTTAAAGGGGACATTGAATTGATAAAATAGCAAAGAAATCACCTGGGTTGTGGTCGCCAAAGATAATCTGTGCAAGTGCAATGCCTCCAAGTTCTCCGGGATAACCAGCCCAGAGGATGCCTCCAATTTTGTGGTTATACTTGGCTGAACTGATATCTACAGGCCCTCCACACAGCAGCACCAAAATAACTGGTTTTTTAGAAGCTTCGGCAACGCTGTTGATGAGTTCAAGTTGCTTGCCCGGCAAGTCTAGATGAATGCGATCACGTTCTTCCCTCTCTTCACTTTGATCCAATCCCATAACCAGCACCACATAATCCACTTTTTTTGCAACTTCTACTGCCTGCTCGATTTTAGCCGAAGAACACTTTGGTCCACCATCACACCCAGGATGATAAACGGCGTTCTTAACGTAGTGCTGAAAGCCTTGCAATATTGTGACAAATTTACAAGGAGGACCAGCATAGTTTCCAAGAAGAGTTAGTGGAGAAGCATTGGCATTGGGTCCTATCACTGCTAGGGAAATACTGGGGCTTGTTATTGGAAGTGGTAGAAGTGTGGGAGAGTTTTTTAAGAGGACAATGCCATTTCTTGCAGCTTCAAGAGCAAGATATTGGTGCTCTTTGGAACACACATGATTCGGACCAATCATACCAAATGGGAGACTGCTTGGATTTCCACCAAACAGGCCTAACCTCATTCTAATAGAAAACAGGTTGTGAAGGGCACGGTCTATTTCAGACATGGATACTTTTTTCTGCAACACTGCCGATTCAGCATGATCCGTCAGATAACTTCCACATTCCACATCCATCCCTGCAAAGTTTAAAAACATATTCACTGCGATGCATCTGAAAAAATTGTTTGAGATAAAAAAATGTCTCCATTCTGGTATAAGATAGTTTAATATTATTTTGAGACTTAAAACAAATCTAGTTTATGACTAACTTCTGATTGTTATTGAGATAATAATATTACTCCAACTATATCCTCATTCAGTGATATCATAATTATTAGTCTAGAAAACATGAATTAAACAAATATTAATTTAAAAGTTTAAACAATTTCAATGTAATTTGACGGAAAACATAGCTCCTATAACAATGGTCAATGTAATTTTTTCAGTAAGCACCATTTCTCTTTTAAAAAATTCTTGTTGTTTTCGTGAAAAAGAATTTCGTGTTTTTTAACATTTTCCTAATATATCATCCCAACCATTTTTAAAATCCACAACGCACTATTTTTTTCTATTTAAAAAAATCTCAAATTAGTCACTTTGGATTATATTTTTTTTCCTTTATAAACAAACGTGTGCTCTTTCTCTCTAAATTGTAGCTACCAATACTTTTATAATTTAAAACACTTTTTTGTTTCCAATGTGTTTTTAAAACTTTAAATGTATTAACTAAACATATTTTATTTATAATTTTAAATATTTTTTAAAATTGTATTTCATAAATTTCACTTAAATTTTAAAATACACATGCATAAGTTTGCCACCATAAATATTGGATAATGATATTTTGACAACAATTTTTTTTTATAATATTTTAACATCATTTATATATCATTCTGTGATTAGTCTATAATTACTTCATAATTAATAATAATAAGTATAAATACCAAGATAAAATATTGTTAAAAAATGTGGTGAATATCTTATCTTATATTAGCAAGCCTGCGTGGAAAGTAGAAAGAAAGTCTTCTTGTGGGGGCTCACATGTCGGAAAATAATTAACAATAATTTGTATTATTGATATGCATGTTAATGGTATTATTGATAGAAGAAGGGAAAATACAAAAATGGGAACCTTAGAAACCTAAAATGTTAAACGATTACTTAAAATATACAGAAAGGTAACATAGGAAATACTAGTAAACATATTATGGTACCGAGTATAACTGGGCCAAGGCATCGATTTTGTCATTAATATGGTTGAGAATGAATAGCATCGTAAAGCCATGTTACTGTAAACCGACAGAAGAAAGGTGATAAAGGTCTCTACGTATACATGCGATTTAGGTAATCACCCTTTAAGCTATTTTGTGGTTTTAATTAGCGACCAAGATTTAACAGTGCCATTAGCGACGAAGAGAGAGACATACCAGCACGAAGAACATCAGCTACAGCTTCCTCCGCTGATTTCGTAAACCCTTGCTGGTCATGTATGATCCCGACTGCTCCACAATCCGACGTAATATAGCCACGGAAATGCCATTTTTTTCTGACCGTTTTGGTTAACAGGTTGAAATCCGCACAGCTTGGAACTCCGTTCACGCGGTTGTAAGCACACATTATCCCACTGGCCCCTCCTTGCTGTACGCAACTCTGAAACGGTGGCTGGTACGTGTCCGCTAAATCTTGCAAACTCACCTGAAACAGATCTTATCCAAGAGTTCAGAAGAAAGAGAAAAAGGTAATTGAGTGGTGTGTGGAGTGAAGTGGTTACTTACGCGAGCATCGAAGAGAAAGCGATCGACGCCCTTCCAATTGTCCAGATCGTAAGCGGTGAAGTGTTTGCAACAGGCGGAGGCTTGAAGGTGGCCCCTCAACTTGCCGCCGTGGAAGGAATCTCCTTGGAGGCCTCTGACGTAGGAAACTGCGTAGCGAGAAGTGAGGAGAGGGTCTTCGCCGGGTGTCTCTTGCCCTCTGCCCCATCGCGGGTCCCTGAAGATGTTGATATTGGGAGCCCAGAAGGTGAGGCCCTGGGCCTGGGCTGCATTATAGATTGCGCGGGCTTCGATCCCAATGGCGCGTCCGATTCGGTACCAGAGGAGGGAGTCGAAGGTGGCTGCACTGAGGATGACCTGAGGGAAGCTGGTGGCGGAAGAGATGGAGGCATTGAAGTGGATGCCGGGGCCGACGTTTCCTACGCCGTGGAGGGCCTCGCTCCACCACTGGTAGGCGGGAATGCCGAGGCGGGGAATGGAAGGAGCAGTGTTGACGAGTTGGGAGAGTTTCTCTTGAAGTGTGAGTCTGGAGAGAAGGTCTTTGGTTCGTTGAGGGATGGGGAGTTTGGGGTTGCAGAATGGGTAGGATTTGGAGGCAGGATTGGACCAATCGCAAGCGAATGGTGGGTTAGATGAGTGAGCAGTGTGAAGAGTCAGGAAAATGATGGCTGCAAAAGTGAATCTGATGTCCATTGCTACACTCCCATTTCTCAATTATTGTTCCCTCCCACCATTTTATATCCCATCTTTTTCACCTCACATTGCCTCTATTACTCAAGACACAAACAAAAAAGGGCAAGTGGCTACAGCTCACGCAAAAGGAGAGGAAGAAATACAAAGGTTAATACTGCAGGGGTGGAGATTCAAACTACATGAACTTTCAAGCGTTGATATATAATGCCATTGATATGAATAACTAACAAAATGTACTCAAGCATTGTACTTATCAATATAGCCCATATTACCTAGTAGATAAAAGGTGTACATAAAGAAAATTTGTATAGGTCAAATTGCTCATAAAAGCTTTATAAATTAAGGCTATCTCTAAAAATAATTCTTTAAAAATTAAAAAAGAGAGAGAAAAGATAATGACTTATAAAAACCTTTACGTACATACAAAATATTTATTGAATGAAATGTATACTTAGTATGGATAGTCAAATTTAATTAGTTAAGATGAGACTATATCAAGTTTATAAAATCGAATCAGTTAAGTTGAATCAAATTCAAATAAGGTAAAAGACAAATTATGTTTGAATCAATTTGAGGTTGAACTATAGTATAAGTTAATGAATTAAATCTTATTCAAATTAAGTCAAATTGTGTTAAGACAAATTTCGATTCAGAACATACTTGAATCAATTAAGTATTTAAAATTAATATAATTTTTAAAATATTTTAAATTATTTAGACCCTTGTTCTAAGTATTTTTAAAAATAAAAAATCAGAGTTAACTCTCATTAGATTTAATATGATAAAAAATTTATTTATCAAAAAAAATGTAAAATTTGACATGATAATTATTAATTTTTAAAATTATAATTACTAACTATGTTCAAGACTTAAAATTATTATAAAAAATTATATAAAATAGGTAAAGATGTAGATAAAAAAATGGTTAAAAAAAAATACTAGAATGGATCAAATTTCAGTCCATAAGTGTAGAGATGTTAACATAAAAAACAGGGGTGTTTCACCTTGCACCTCTGAGCCTGCACCTCCAATTTTCTAAAATACCACTACACCTCATTTTTCATTTATTAAGAAACTCTACACCCGTTCCTATATTAGTTATTTAATTATTTTATTTATTTATAATTATTTTTAAATTTATGTATCAAATTGCATGAAATTATAATTTAATTAGAATACTTTTAAATGTTAAAAAATTGTTTTTATGAATTTATTAGATTTAATAAAAATATTTTGAAAAAATAAAATTTTAAATATATATCGGATATGAAAATCTGAGTAGAGTTATCGAATGTTGATATACGATAAACGAAGAAATTGTTTCATAAAAATTTAATTATATTATTTATTTAATTATTTATTAGTTTATAATTATATTTAAAATTATATATTAATTTTTATGAATTTATAATTTAATTAAAAAGAATTTAATTGTTAAAAAATAACTTTTATAAATTTTTTAGATTTAAAATAAATATTTAAAAAAATAAAATTGTAAAAATATATATCGGTTGGCAAAATCGGATGTGAATATCAATAGTTGAATGATCGGATATCTAGATGCGATATGTTTAAGTACTCTGCTTTTTAAGTTGCTTTATTAATTTTGCACTTTTTTACATGTTGCTTTATTAATGTGCTGCATGTTTTTTTTTACATGTTAGCTTTATTAATATTTTTTAACAATAGGTTTTTTTTATTAAAAAACTAAATAATGATAACTTAAATTTTATAATTATTAAATGGGTTAAATATGTTTTTAGTCCCTAAATTATTGGTCGTTTCTGGTTTTCGTCCCTGTTTCAAAGTAAGGTACAATTTGGTCTTTATTCCTTTCGAAACGTTCGTTTTAGTCCTCGAAAACTAAACACTATTTAAAAATTTGGTCCTCATTTAGCAACAAATGAGGACTAAAACCAAAATTCCGAGGATTAAAACGAACGTTTCGAAAAGAATGAGGATCAAATTGTACCTTACTTTGAAAGAGGGACGAAAACTAGAAACGACCAATAGTTTAGGGACTAAAAACATATTTAACCCTTATTAAATTTTGTTAATATAAATAATACATTTTAAATGTTTTAGTATTATTATTTTGCTGTTTTTTTTTTAAAGTTGATCACATTATTAATAAATTTATAAATGAATAATTTACGAGAATGGAGAAATACTATGGCTGCACGAAATAAACGAGAAGCAGTGGTGTGTGCTATGAAAACCCACACCAAAACCCACTTCAACCTCTAAAGGAAGAGCTTCCTGTGTGTGCCTGCAACGAACCAACCAAAGGAGAGGAAGCTAAAATAGATAATGAAAAAATTGAGATCAATAAATGCACACTGACAAATATGTTTCTAAAAGAAGAATCTTTGACCAAAATTTTACTTTTTTTTAAATAATTAAAGATTTTTAAATAAGGGTAATATGAGTATGCTTGAAAAAATTGGAGGTGTAAGGGTTGTTATTTTGAGTGGATTTGAGCGAATGGATTTGAAGGGATCTGATAGGATTTGAAGATAATATTTTTTGTCGTGTTTTTGAGCGAATTTGGAAGTAAATGAAAGTGAATTTGAAAATATTTTTTTTTAATTTGTCACGTCAATACAATTCTATACAAATTCTCACAAATTTTATTTTCAAATTCACTCTTATTTACCTTCAAATTGGCTCAAAAAAATGACAAAAAAAATTATCTTCAAATCCTCTCAAATTCTCTCAAATCTACTCCCTCAAATTCACTCAAAAGAACAAGACCTAAAATTAATATTTATATAATTTTATATTTTTGTTAAAAATATTTAATAAAAATATCAATTTTAATAAAAATATTGTTATATATTTATTAATAAATTAAATTTTGTTTGAATTTGAGAAAGACAAAACTGTTTTATTTTAAAAAATTAAGAATAAATTGAAACAAAATAAAAATACAAAGATCAAATTGAAATAAAATAAAAATACTGACAAATGTCATCTTTTTAATATTGTTAGTATGAAACTTACAATAATGACCTAATTATTTTAAAATTTCAAAAATAAAAATCCAATTGAGAAAAAAAATAAAAATCCTATTTAAAAAAAAGTCACAAGTAGAAACTATCTAAATAATTAAACACTTTAAAAAATAGGAAAACAAATGTTTTCAAAATAAGAAATAAATAATAATAATAATAATAATAAGTAAAAAATAATAATAAAATAAGAAGAGGGTTACTCCCTACACCACCCCACTTTGCTTCCTGTACCACCACATTTTTTTAAAATTCCAAAACTATCCTTTATATTTTAAAATATCCTACACCCCCACCTCTTTTCTTCAACGGATGTCAACATCCGTTGAAAAAAAATTCTTCCACGAACGTGCCACATCCGTTAACGGATGTGACGACATGCGTTGCCTTTTTTTGTTTTTTAGTTTTTAGTTTTTTTATTTTTTTGTTTTAAATTAATATATAAATATTATTTAATTATTTTAAAATTATTACTTAATTATTTGTCAGAATGAAAAAAAAAACACTGGATTGGACTAAGTTCAGTCCATATAACTAAGCGCATATAGTTGTGAACAAAATAACTAGTTCAAAAAGAAACACCGAAGTGGCTCAATCCCATATCCCATTGTTTACTCTTTCTTATTTGAGAGTTGCTCCCTCCACCACCATCAACCGCTCCCTGCACCTTCCCATATCTTATTTGCCCTTCTATAAAACGGATGTCAACATCTGTTTCACCTTCAACGGATGTTGACATCCGTAACATCCATTTACATGTTTTATATCTTAGTTTATTATTTTTATTTAAAAAAAAAAACTTCAACAGCGGATGTGACACATTCGTTTAGTAGATTTTTAAAAAGTTTTTTATTTATTATTTAAATAATAATATATAAATAAAATAATAATTATTATTTTATTAAATAAAATAAAACTAATTTATAAATAATTAAGTAATAATTTTAAAATAATTAAATAATATTTATATATTAATTTAAAACAAACAAATAAAAAAACTAAAAACTAAAAAACAAAAAAAGGCAACGCATGTCGTCACATCCGTTAACGGATGTGGCACGTTCGTGGAAGAATTTTTTTTCAACGGATGTTGACATCCGTTGAAGAAAAGAGGTGGGGGTGTAGGATATTTTAAAATATAAAGGATAGTTTTGGAATTTTAAAAAAATGTGGTGGTACAGGAAGCAAAGTGGGGTGGTGTATGGAGTAACCCTCTTCTTATTTTATTATTATTTTTTACTTATTATTATTATTATTATTTATTTCTTATTTTGAAAACATTTGTTTTCCTATTTTTTAAAGTGTTTAATTATTTAGATAGTTTCTACTTGTGACTTTTTTTTAAATAGGATTTTTATTTTTTTTTTTCAATTGGATTTTTATTTTTGAAAATTTAAAATAATTAGGTCATTATTGTAAGTTTCATACTAACACTATTAAAAAGATGACATTTGTCAGTATTTTTATTTTATTTCAATTTGATCTTTGTATTTTTATTTTGTTTCAATTTATTCTTAATTTTTTAAAATAAAACAGTTTTGTCTTTCTCAAATTCACACAAAATTTAATTTATTAATAAATATATAACAATATTTTTATTAAAATTGATATTTTTATTAAATATTTTTAACAAAAATATAAAATTATATAAATATTAATTTATGTTTTTTAAATATACTTATAAGAGTTTAAAAAAAATAATGACGCAAAATTTCACTTTTTTAAGAAAAATTCTATGAAAATCCTAATTAATGTGGAATTTGTAAAGAAATGACTAATACTATTGTGTTTTATGATAAAATTTACATAAATGTGCAATAGTTTACTTTATTAAGTACTGTTTTAATTGAATTTTAGTTAGGAAATTTAAATACTAAAATTTGAATGTTTATGTTTTTAAATTGTTGATATATGAAATATAGTTTTGTCTTAAAAATTAAAGGGTTAAATATGTTTTTAGTTCCTAAACTATTGGTCGTTTCTGGTTTTCGTCCCTATTTCAAAGTAAGGTACAATTTGGTCCTCATTCTTTTCGAAACATTCGTTTTAATCCTCGGAACTTTGGTTTTAGTCCTCATTTTGTTGATAAATGAGGACCAACTTTTTAAACGGT